ATAATCAGGTCTCCCCTCAGCCTCCTCTTCTCCAGGCTAATCAGCCCCAACTCCCTTAGCCGCTCCTCATAAGTTTTATTTTCCAGCCCCTTGACCAGTTTAGTCGCCCTTCTTTGGACTCGCTCCAGGAGCTCAATATCTCTCTTAAAGCGAGGGGCCCAAAACTGGACACAATATTCCAGGTGCGGCCTCACCAGTGCTGAGTACAGGGGCAGGATCACTTCCCTGCTCCTGCTGGTCACACTATTCTTGATACACGCCAGTATCCCATTGGCCTTTTTGGCCACCTGGGCACACTGCTGGCTCATATCAAGCCGGTAGTCAACCAACACCCCCAGGTCCTTCTCCGCCAGGCAGCTCTCCAGCCACTCTTCCCCAAGCCTGTAGCGATGCTTGGGGTTTTTACACCCCAAGTGAAGGACTCTGCACTTGGCCTTATTAAAGCTCATGCCATTGGCCTCAGCCCAACGATCCAGTTTGTTCAAATCCCTCTGAAGGGCCTCCCTACCCTCAAGCAGATCGACACAGCCTCCCAGCTTGGTGTCGTCCACAAACTTACTGAGGGTACATTCAATCCCCTCATCCAGATCATTGATAAAGATGTTAAACAGAACCGGACCCAGCACTGAGCCCTGGGGAACCCCACTGGTGACCGGCCTCCAGCCGGATTCAGCCCCATTTACCACCACTCTTTGGGCCCGGCCATCCAGCCAGTTTTTAACCCAAAGGAGGGTGTGCCTATCCAGGCCAGCAGTTATCAGTTTCTCAACCAGTTATTACATCCTATCCTGTGAACTGTGTGTAATGTTACAACTCCATTAGACAGAGGCACTTGGAGATAATTACTTGCAAGGTCTCATCAATTTCCCTAAGTTCCCTCAATTCAAACTCTTAAATGTTTCACCAGATCAGAATCATCTACTCTAACATAAAGATTAGCAAACGTGCTAATTCCATTTTATGTAATTTTTTCCTCTTAAAGGCAAGCATTCTGCAGTAAATTTCAGTAAACTTCAGCTGCTAGTGTCTTCTGACATTGACTGTTCACTGAAGAAACCCACGATGCTTTTATGATTCATCTGTGCTGTCTTCTGAGACAGCACGCTGCATTTTAATCTTGTTCTGTGCTAAAAAGCAACTCATCGGCTACCATGTTATTTATCATATACTCTAGATTCTGTAGTATTTTACCAAAAATTTAACATCAAATTCTTGACATGTTTTTCCAACAAGGAGGTAGAAAAAAAGACTACGCTAAGAAGTCATGAGAGTCTTCCTCTAGCGTACATGTGGGTACATTTTACAGGGACATATTCTACAGTTGCCACTTAAAAACAGTATCAAGAAAACTACCTACTCAACAACAAACTCAATGGCTTGAGGAGCAGAATTTTTACATCTTGGTCTCCAGCTACAGTGAAAGGGGAATAAGATGGGACAAACAAGTAACAACTGAATTGTGCAAAAAGCCTTGACATAGCGTCTAGGCTCCAGGATAGAACATAATATCTATTGCTTCTGTGCACAACAGACTGAGAAGCCAATTCTCGTTCTGTCTATCTGAAATAAGAAAAACTTCAGTGCGGTCACTATCTGCATATGGGGTAGAATACTCTGGTATTTTTTCTCTTCCATGTCCCAAGAGAGGTCCTTCCTAGGCAGAAAAAGCAAGCCTCTACCTCTTGTTTTGCTTCTTTTCGTTCTGCAGTGTATCATTTACAAGAAATGATACCCAAAGGTGTGATTCTGCAAGACATCTGCCCATCTTGCAGCCAGTGTATGGAAGCCAATACCAGTGACATCAAGGGAGGGAAGCATCATTACTTATCTGATGCTCATCGGACCACACGGTTTGCTGATCAAGCCATGAACAAGATAGCAAGGTAACCCAGGTAAAATATCACAGTATTACACTCAGCTAGTGAGTTCACTTGACTCTCAAAATACTCATCTTATGGAACCATATCCTTAGCCTTAGAGAGCAAGGGGAAACTTACCATGAGAACTTTATCCATGTAGAATTCCCTCCCAGGGCTCCCATCATTGTGTTTTGTATCGATGGCAAAACATAAGAAAAGGACATCAACCACCATTTCATAAATGGAAAGGAAGCAGTGAGCAACCAGGAATGCAAAGAGGCAGACAATGATGAGTGGCAGCACCCAGATGGTGTAATCTCCTTGGTAATTCAGCAACATAATCCCAGCCAAACCTGTACTGCAGACAATCAGGACCTGAGGAAGAAAAGAGAAAACAACTCTAATGGCAGAAGCCTTTTCATTGTTTTGGTTTTAACCTCTGTGCTTCTTGCTCTGCCAGAGCTAGAACTAAGGGTTACAGATGCTAGTGGTAATGACACCTTTACCACCTGGATTCCCCACATTCCTGAGGATAAATGACATGGGCAGAGGGAGGAGGGAAAGCAGGTCTTGCGGGGGGAAGACGGTACGTTTGTTTTTCATTTTGCTGGTGGTAACAACTTTGAAGCTTCTCTTATCTCTGTCTCATCTGTATACAGGCAAAATAGATCAGAATTCATGTGAAGCACTTCATGTAACAGTCTCCACAGAACTACACTATGTGTGAGGCCCTAACAGGTATTTCACTGGGGACCAGTTTGGTCTTTGGGAATAACAAAAGGACTAAAACAACTGTTGTGTCCACTCAACATTTTTAAAATTTGTGAATCTATTATTATGAACTGCAGAAAGACATGAAATTGTAAAATAGGTCAGCTTTACTGTATTACGAAAATACCAGGTTGCACTGACAGAAGAGATAGGCTGGCAGCCTAGCACTGTTTTAGCTGATATTATTTCTCGTATACTGCTCATTTCAACATTTCTATTACCTGTGCATTCCTCTAATAATTTGAAAGACATCTTTTCCGGTAGATGTTTCCCAACACCTTTCAGATACCTCTATAAAACCACATTACTGTAATTTCATGGTCTCCCAAGCACCTATATCTTCATTATGTGTTTATTTCTTCTCACATCTTATTGACTTAGTTACTGGATTAGAAGTTCAGCCCACTGTACTCTGACTTAATAAAAGTAGAGTAATGTAATAAAGAAGAGAGTTCGGTCCAAGCTGGCAGTTCTTCATAGCAGGCTCCCATACTACCTTCCAGTCCAATTTTGTCATAAATGGTGACCAATAACATCCCAATTTTCAACATAAACCTGGAGAGACCTTAATAAACAGCACTTAGAGGAAATGCTTCCTTTCCTTAAAATTCTAGGTTTTAAACTACAAAACCAATCAAAAACTCAGAACTTCTAATAATCGCTTTTCTCCCGACTCCCTAAAAATAAATTCATGTAAAAGGTGTCATCATCTTCAGCTATTCCTTTCTGATCACTTTTACTTAACATAAATGGGTCATCTGTTTATCCTCCCTATCCTGGACAGTCCCTTCCTGATATGATGCAGTTAGATGTGATAAACTGCACACTAAAAACCAGAAATTAGAAGGCATTTTGTGTCTGAGCTGCAAGCCATCACTAAGGAAAACTTGCTACTACACAGGTCAGTAACAACTGTATACAGCAGACATACCTTTCCTAGAAACAGCATAAAATCCCCAACCGTGTTTATGGCAGGGCATTCCACTAGAATAACAAAGGCATCCTTTGCTGAGGTGCAGAAGTTCGTACTGTTGATAGCTGTGGCTGTATACGCATTCTGGGAAAAGCAGATTGAAGATTTACTCATGGAATGATCAGATATTTCAGATGGAGCAGGAGGGAAGATGGGGGAGAAGATACGGCTTCTGAGTAAGTCACAAAAATCATATGATGTTAATGAACAAAGATTCCCTTGTGAGTTGTTGAATTAAGCAGCATGTACCAGCTGACAGAAGTCTACATGAGGTAGAGAATTACTATTCTTCTGCTCTCTTGCTCATCATTTATGCACTAACAAGTTTATTCCAAAAAGTAATTAAACAAAATTTGCAATTTCTCTGTAGGAGGAGGTGAGCAGTGGCATAACTACAGCAAATAAGTAGTTAGAAAAAATGTTCTGGAAATTTTTGAGTTTGAGAGTCATGCAAGTCCATCAAGATAATTTCGAGATGCTTCACTGGACCACATTCAAAGTTCGCCAGGACAACTTTCAAGGATCATACTGAGTTTTTTTTTTAATGCTGCCTTCTTCTTTTATTTCTGTATTTCCACAAGCAAAAAAAATGAACAACAGTGAAAGGAATATTAGAGAGGTATTTAGAGATGTACTTAACAGAGGTGAACTGTAGGCCAGTAAGATCTCTTTTAAAAAGGAGTCTGACCAGCCAGCATGTCACAACTTGCAACTCTTTTTCCACTTTGTAGATGATGACGACTATTTGATGTTATGTCCAGTTTTTCAATTGTGTGAACCTTAAATATGAGACCTAGAAAAGCTTTATTCTCTTTTCACCACAAGCTTATTTCAAAACTCAGATGTAGTTTGATAGAGTGGACATAAAGAGGAACATCTCTGAACACTAAACAGGTTGTTATAAAGTTGAGATACTATGTTCACAAAGATGAATACTAGCTATTTTTCACCTTTACAAGGTAAACAAAGACTAATGCAGTGATTTGCAGTCTAATTTCAGTAATGGAGACAAGACTGAAGTACCTTCACCGAAATTCAGTTCCAGAGTACAATACCTTATGTGCCAGCTTCAGACTGCATTCTGGGAATCGCATATACTATCAGCCCTTACACAAAACCTGAATATTGAAAATCTTACCTGATTTAAGTAGGTCAGGCACTTCTCTAGACACCAAAGGCAGCAGATGCAGGCTTTGAGCATACAGCGAGCACAAGCATTTTCCTAGGAAAGCACAGAATGCGGAAAAACAAAGATAAACCAAATAGATCTTAAGAAAATAATATTTCTTTGTGTTTCAGTAACCGGTACTCAGCTTGGTAACTTACGCAGCCCTCTCAGTTCCACGGTCCTTTGAAGACCAAATATTCCAAGACAAGACTTCCAGCCCCCACACAAATTAAATTAAATTAGCTGTAAACATGTCAGGCATGAGTTTCGGTAAGAAAATGGAATCTCTTTGTCTTACTTTTCCTTTGAGTTGTGTATGAATATACATAAGAATCATTCGTGGTATCTTCACTAGTGTGATAATGAAAGACCCCTTTGCGACCGTTCCTAGGTGGTAACAGACAAGGCGATTAACGGATGCCAGAATCGGAGTAAATGGCAGATTCCTTTTCTCCCTGTTGAAAAGAGAAAAAGTAAATAAAGTAGAATGATCAATATGTATTTAGTATCATCTAGAAGTACTACAAATTCTCAATAAATTAACGTTGAAAAATGAACGTATTATCCTTACACTGGCTTTCAGTGTATTTTGTTCACTCCACACTGACAGCCCGTGCAAGACACAGTTCTGTCTCTACTGCAGTAATAACAGTAAGATAAGGAATCAGTATGTCTGAAGGGTAGTCTTACCCGCAGTTGGCTGCATTACCACTATTGCCAACTAGCAGTTTCTATAAAACTACATTTGATGGTGTTCAATTCATAGAATCACAGAATGGTTTGGGTTGGAATGGACCTTAGAGATCCTCTAGCTCCAACTCCCCCACCATGGGCAAGGACAACTTCCACTAGATCAGGTTGCTCAAAGTCCCCTTCCACCTGGCCTTGAACACTTCAGGAATGGGGCATCTGCAACTTCCCTGGGCAACCTGTTCCAGTGCCTCACCACCCTCAAGGTACAGAATTTCTTCCTTGTATCTGATCGAAATCTCTCCTCTTTCAGTTTAAAGCCATTGTCCCTTGTCTTATCACAACATGCCTTAGTAAAAAGTCCCTCTCCAGCTTTCTTGTAGGTCTTCCTTAAGTGCTGGAAGGCTGCTAGAAGGTCTCCCCAGAGCTTTCTCTCCTCCAGGCTGAGCAACTCTCTCAGCATGTCTTCATAGGAGAGGTGCTCCAGTCCTCTGATCACCTTTGTAGCCCTCCTCTGGACTCGCTCCAACAGGTCTCTGTCCTTCTTAAGTTAGAGGCTCCGGAGTTGAATGCAGTAAATTAAAAGCCTTCCAAAGAAGTGAAAAACAAAGCTAACATTTTTTTCAGTTAGACTACTGAAACACTTGCCTTCTCTGTCTCTCCTGTTTTGTTGGAGGTCTTTGTGGAGACTTTGGAGAGGATATTACTGTTGTTATTTTTAGATAAAGTCTTTTCTGATGTGTTTTGCATTTCTGATTTAGCTATTATATCCTCAAGGAACCAAGTATTAAGCCTTAAAACAAGCTATTTAATTGCAACATGGCTAGACTGTTCTTAATCTATTAGATGCATACCCACTTGCACAGTTTTGAAGCCATTTCCTCTTGAAGTTTTTATTTGTATTTCCTACCAAGGAAGCCATTTCTATTTCTCTCTCAAAGAACAGCTTTATTCAACATTTAAAGAATAGCTTTTCTTATTAGAAATATGAACATAATACTAAGCATACGAAAGGAACAAGTGCTAACATTCCAAATATGAAGTATCTCCTCTGCTTGGGAGAAAGTTATTTTCATGTGAGTTTCATTCGAAAAGATAAAAAAGTAGAGCCTTTATTCCATGAAACTAACATCTTCATAACTTAATCCTAAGATGTTAATTACTACAGTAGGTTTACCCTGTGTTTCCTTCCCAATAAATTGTAGAGCTCAGGTGGTGAAAGTCAAATTCTATTCCATTTTCGGCACAATCACATAAAAGGTCTGAGCCTTACACCCAGGCAGCCCAACCACTTTTTCCTTTTGAGGTAAATGTAACTGAGGGCAGAGTCTGTAGTGCAGAACCCCTTGAGGTCTGTTATTGCCTGAGTTGAAAGGAATCCATTCAGCTAAAGTGAATGAACAGTGAACATATATAAAAATATTTCTCCATAGATAACTTCACCTCATTTGCTGTGGAAAGCTGCTAATATGCAAAATAATGGGGAAGTCCAAATTAATGCCCTTTCCTGCCTAAATCACTTTTCAGATTAGAATTGTACCTTAAAATGCAGAAAAACATAACAGTAGGGAGAAACGAGTACTTACAAACTTAAAATAAAATTCCTGTTATGGAATGAGAGAGTGCGATTAAAAGAAAAATCATTCGCCCTCGGGTGACAGAAAATATATAAACTTACAGATGAAGCATACGCATTGCTAAGGGATCTATTTCAATGTGAAGTTATCATCTCTCTTCTGTATTTTCCCAGTTTGTTACTCAATCTAGCTTAATTATTCAAAAGATTACATCCTTGTAACATCTTGTAATAACTTCACAGATGTATTTCATTGGTATACTGGAGGACTTCATCATTAATACAATACTAGAATTTCTGTCAGCACAGTAAATTAATTCCTTGCCTTTGATATTGTTTTAAAGACTCGGGCAGATAAGGAATCAAATGTAATTCAGATAAAATTCTCAATTAAAAAGACAAACCAATTAAACATTTGTGATTTGAATCATGCGCTTGAAAAATTTCTGCATGCATTATTAAAAAACCCATTTTTAAAAAGCCAGACTCTTAAAAGCACATGACAAGAACAGAGTGTGGCTGCTGGATATCATTAGAAATTTTTATATACAATATTCTTCATATGAAAGACTAAAAACACGTACCAAAACCCACTAGCTGAACTACATATGTATTTAGGATACTTCTTGGAGATAGCATCACTCCAGCATCTTGGTTTTGCTTTCTTGAGTAAACCATCATTGCTAAGTATCTTGTCATCATCCTCTACTCATGCTGCTCTTTAACCAGAGGAGTTGTATTTATATTGTTTGGAAAAGACTTTGAGAACATCTGAAATAGAATTAGTCATCTAGTTCTTGAACAATGATGTGGAGTGGAAGGGTGGGTTTTTAAGAAATTTATCATGAGCTACTGGATCTAGGATGACGTGGAGAAGCTTCATAAAACTGTACTTTTATAAAACAGGTATTAGTGTTCTTGCTTCTTTTCCTTACAAAAAATATTGCCATAGTTCTGCTCTACATACCAAAACATAATACTTAGATCACTGAAGCACCATTTATTCTTATGAAATACTAACAAAGCACCCGATTTATTTTTTTTTCTAAAAAATCTGGGTCCTAAATGGCTGAAACCAGAACTTCAATTTTCATTTACTGAAGGTAAATTTTAAGCGCTTGTAATTTCAAAAGATTTTTCAAATACTAAAGACTAAAACCCCAAAGCTAAGTTTGTGATTCTGAAACCAGTTTCTTATCTCTGTGAAGCAAAATTCTTGTGCCTGAAGGTTGGTAAAACCATTGCTTAATAATTAGTATTACCTTCTTGAAAAGCTAGGAGATACATGCACAACAGCCAGCGTAAAGTATGTCCTGATACACAACTTAGTACTTTAATACAGCAATGAAATATAGATCTTTAATGCCTACATATTTTGTATCACAATTTATTTGAACATGAGCTGGCCAGAATCTTTATGTAAATGATGACTCTAATAATACCTCAAGTAATTTTGTGTAAGAAAGATTAATGAAGCACTGTAAGTAATTTAAAGGGCACTGTTTTGCAATTAAAATAATAAACAATTGCTTTCAATATTTTTTTTATTTCTACCAAGTTTATCAGCATTAATTATTAGCATTAGAGATAATCTTCCAGGTGCATTCTGCTTTGTAAAAATGATCTATATCCACACAATGTACACAGGTTACAAGGCAAACAAGACTTCAAGTTCTAAATATCAAGAATATCATCTATAATCAGCAAAAGAGATTATTTTAGAAATTGACATGATTTTAAAATAGTCAACTGCTCTCCAGCTTTCAGGATGGAAGTAGTATTCTCCCCAAAACCTGTGGTACTCATTATTTCTGCTAATTCAATTTCTAGGCTGTGCACAGCAGAGCTGTCTAAGTTGTCCTTACCTTGTAAAATAGTATGTCACAACAGCCCCTGCCACCGTCATCTGCTGACAGGCTAGGATGAACTCGCTGATCCAGATCAGTCCCACTACATGGTACCACCACATGTACTTCAAAGGGCCTACCATCCGAAATTCAACAAATCCTTCTTCATTTGCAACAGGACTACCTAGAAATAAATGAAAGTAAAAAAGGAAATGGTGCTTACATCAACTCAGAAAGAAGCAAGCTTATGGTGTTAGCAGTTCCTAACGTCTACGGGTCTACAGCAGAACCCCTCCACTTTCTACTAACACTACTAAATGTCATATTTACAAAGACCGTTCATAAGAAAGATACAGCTTTTGAGACAAATAGTATAATAGCATTTGAAAAAAGCACTAAAAAAAAAATATTCTGAGCATACTCAAAATTCCGCAACAATTCTTTTAATTTAGAGCCACGCGGTGAAAATTTCCAAAAATCAACCACCACCAAGTAGCAAAAATTCTTACAATTAAACATAACAGAAGCCTGCCTCGGTCATTCTTAATTTCAGTCTGCTGCTCTGTTCATAATATTCATAGAGACAGAATCAATACTAAACTTCGTAGCTCTTTACACTTGGATGTCAACATTAACAATCACTTTTGTTTTCCTAATAAGTCTTTGTGCACATATTTCAACAATATTTGTAGCTTTAAAGGTATTTACAGACATACAGAGCAGCTTTAGAGATTCTAAACATATGATTCCATACATTCAGAAATCCATTGACTCTGTGTCTCATGTGAATAGTGATATCGTGCTAAGACCGACAGAACATGTCAGAATCTGCCTAGGATAAGCTCTATTTCAATGTGTTAACCCACACCTTATACAACAGTTGTGTGAACAGCTGATGAGATTCAGAAAAATACTGAAAGTACCATCTCATGCTTACCTTGAAAACCGTTGTTTAGACTTAGCATTGATAGCACTCTCTCCACATTCTTAGCTATGCTTTTGTGCTTATATAAAAACTTAGTATTTTCTTGTGAATAAATTGAACTATTGGAGTAATTTTGGTTTTAGTGAACAAGCTTTTCATAAGTGTAGGCTTCTCATACAGAGATAAAACACACTTTTTCAGTTCTTCTGGCTTGGATTGAAAAGATCTGGCCCTGCCTGCACAAATATTTTGTTTAACTGATATCAGTGAAGACATTGAGTGCATATAAAAGTAAAAACATAAATTAGCCTTTGCAGAATCAAGGCCAATCAAAGAGTTCTGTCAAAAATAAATAATATCAGCCTAAATTCTGCTACAAATGTAGTTCTTATGCAGAGGTTTTTAACTCACAGAGTGAAGCATGGGAGTGACTTAAGTGAGTGACTTAACTCACTTTCAAAGCGAACATTTTCTGCACACAGCACAGCATTCAATGAAAACAAAAAAATTTCAATAGTAATAAGAATAAGAACATGTGAATTCTATTACCTCCATCCCTTGCTAAGAATTCAGGCTATGTAACAAAAAATATTTTCCTTGTATTATCCTGAAACAGCTCTGTGACCTGAAACACTGCTACTTTTGGATCAGCAGTAAACAATAAATTTCAAAATTCTAAGGGTTTGAAAATGAATGATGTTCTTCATTGTCTACAACTTAGTGCAAAATAACGCACGACACCTCCCATTTTAAAAAGCAGTTGCTAGGTTTCTCTGCTGAAGTAAGATTTGAGCCTATAGGATCGACTAATTCTAGAAGCTCTTATCACACACTGAACACAAAGCGCTCATCTACGCTTTTCACAGCAAGCAGAAATAGAGAGGACACTGGCTCTCCCAAAATATGGTGCATAGACAGCAGAAAAATCTCCCTAATAATCCTGGAAAATGCTGAAATAATATTAGACACCTAAGTGATGAAAAACTGAACACTACTTTGAGTATATTTACATTTTGGGAGACAGTAAATGTCTGCAACAGCCCTTTCATTACTATGTTTTTCATCTGTGTGAGTACTGGCTATAATACAATACCTTATGAAAAGAGCTGTAAGATTGGCTGGTTTTGACCTGTTAATGTAAAATTAGAAGGAATTATTTGAAAAATTGTTAGAGCAGTCTTACTAATGGAGTCTTGTGGTTTGCAACATGCCAACTTGCATCAAATCAAAAAGCCAGCCTAAGGCACAAAGTAACGTACAGGGAACATAGACTCAAATGCACAACAACTTTCTTGAAACAAATGGTTTGAAGTCACTGACAGCAACAGAAGCATAATAGGTGGGGTTCTTGCTAGAGGTTCCCACATGCTTTTTAGCCAGCTCAGCCTGAAATCATACAAAAATGAAATTTAAAATAAGCCTGGTAGCTGCTTACCTGTAGTACCAAGGAAAAGCAGGACTGTGATCCAATACGTCCAGAAAAGGATAAGCACAAAGAACGTCCAAAACGGCTGGAAGACTAGCAGCGGCAAGTGAATGAAGACCTTGCCGGCCACGTGGAACAAGGCAATGGTGAGAGCTACTCGTTTGCGCATAATTAACATTATCAAGAACAAGATAACCTAGAGGGAGAAGTTTCCAAATCACATTTTAGAGAATTGAAAAATAAGCAAGCTATCATTTTGCACAGCTAGGATATTCAAACACATCAAATTAACACATGCTCTATCTAAAAGATCACAAGATCCAAACGCAAAACCTCTATCATCTTCTTCTTGTGATAAATTATCTTCCAAATTATACTTTTGAGGAATTCCAATCTCATAATTATGTATTTGGAATAATCATCAGCCTCAGGCTTACGAGATCAGACCAGACTCTATCCTCAATTACATTTTAGGAACCAGTGAAATCAGCAAGATTTAACAAAGAATACAATTTAATATCTATATTTGGGCATGGTGTGGTGGACTTGTCATATCAGATAGTCAAACATAGTCAATTTTCAGTAGCAAAGTCAGTAACTCCAAAATGAACCCAAAGGCTTGAAGAAAATAATTTAGTATTTTAGTTCACAATGATCCCTCTGCAAAGAGAAAAAAATCGGGAACAATCGATTTCAGAAGTAAGAACGGTTGAAGAACTTTCAAATGAACTGAAACGATGAAGTACCTCTGAACTGAGAACCTAAGAAAAATCTTGTAAGTGAACTGGATTGGGAGTCCAATATTGTACCAATACATGGAAGTCCCTGTGGACGTTTTACAGCAGACGAGAGTACAGGAACTCTCTCCTGACTCAAAAATAGATATTACAGAACAATGTCTGGAAGCAAAAAAATACTGAAAAATCACCGCAACAGAGCTTGCAGTAGATATAAACTCGTCAAAAATGTGCGCAACTTAAATCTTTCACCTGAATAAAGAAATAGAGACAAACAGGAAGACAGAAAAAGAAAATAATATAATCATTAGCAAAGCATACCGTGAAGACTGTAGCTGAAATGGCATAGATCAGAAGAGCCTGAAGATTGTCTTTGGCTATTTGAGTCTCAACAGCACTGGCAGATATTCGTTGCTTAGCATAGAGCCACCATAAGACTCCTGTACCACCTGTGTTTCAGAGGGGGAAAAAAAAAAGATAACTAAAAGATGCTCCTTCTACGTGACACAGTTATACTATGTAGTACCAAAGAAACTAAAGAGTGTCTTCTTTTTAGTCTAGTCTGGTACAGTATGCTCTAAAGCACTGATGGCTAAATCAATAGGAACTTTTTAGGATGGACAAGTGCCCTCTTCTCAAGTGAATATACTCTTTTCACAGTCTCACCCCACTATGACCACTCAAGAGACTTGCAGCTCTTTGCCTCTGTGTTTTAGGGTGAAGTCTGTGAGAAGACTAGTTCACAGGGAGCCCTAACAACAAAGATCACAGCTTCTATTAGGCAGCCAACAGAGTAACAAAAAGAAGAATAAAGAGTTATACAGTAGGATGTATGTATAAATGTGTTTAATACAGTAGAGAGTAAGAATTTAGGAGAGGGACGAGAGGGTGACCTTTGGATGAGGATGGAAAATAACAAGAGGAACAAAAGGAGGAATCTACAACCCCTGGGAAGACTAATCGAGAAGAGAAGGAACAGCCCTGATACTGAAAACAGCACCTCAGGTTATTGACACATAGCTACACCTGCATCAGACAATGTCTTTTGGCAACTAGAAAAAACATCAGTGAAAGGCTCAGGAGGCCAATATAGTGTAAGTTCTTCTAACTCCCGTTGTCAAATTCTAGTCTTATGGCCAGAATTTGATTCTCATATTCTAGCTACGTTTCCAAGGTAAAACTTTTCTTAAATACGTTACTTCAGCCCCTCAGGGAGGCTTCTGAGTATCTTGAGTGTTCTTCTCTGTTCTGTTATTTCTGAATCAGCTGCATAAGCTTATCTAGAGATCACAAGTCTTTCCTGAAGACACTTCGTTCAGGTCTAAAATGAAGGATGCTCTTTTGGTGTTTCCTAAACAAACAGTGAATACCGAATAAGCAGTATGTCTCACAAATGACATGTTCTTATTCAGTCTGTGTAATGGATGCGATTTTTTAGAACATAATAACAGATGGCAATAAGTCATTCAACGCTTTCACTCAACATAGTTGCTCAGCTTCTAAAAGAATAAAAATGAAAAAAAAAATCTATTTTTTCTCCTTTTCTGTAGTCAGAGATCAGTAAACAGTAAGCAGAAAAACTAAGTGATCCTGAAAAGATATAGATGGTCTGATTTTTTTTTCCATCCCTTGCAGTCATGCATTGCAAGAATTAAATTGCTAGTACTTCCTAATTTAATTATTCTATTTTTGTTCCTTCCCTACAGTCATCTGCCCATACATTTTGGCTTTGCTATTGAGTATCATTAATAGAAAACTTTAGTTTTACAAATGTAAAAGTTAATGTGATAAAGCTTCATGCAAGTTAAATCATTTTGGATGAATCTTTGGTGATTCCCAAGATGGCATGGCTGGTTGCATTTCATACATGACCTGGGTCATGCAGGACTTTCTCAGTCATACAGAAATACAAAGATTTGATTAGAAATGCTAGAATAACAGTCTTGCTTCCTCCACTCAAGAACAGATGTTAGCTACTCAGAGGGCTGAAGGGGCTGAAGAAACTGTCAGGATTGTATGGACACATCTACATCCTAAGGGTCCCCTGAGGCTGCATAAACAATAGTTGCCCTTTGATTCCTGCATGCCTCAATATGCCCAGTGGGTGGGTATACCATCAGACACACCCAGACTAGCTGTCTTGCTCACATGTTTGGAAGGCAGGTTAAGAAGCAGGCAAGGTTTAGTGTTGTGCTACAAGTGTTGTGAGGAACATCCGGTATCGCCTATGTGGGCTCCAGTGAGACAGGCAGACAGGACGCTCGCCAGCCCAGCAGGGAGTGCAGCAAATCTGTAAAGAGCAACGTACTTTCTAGGAGAGGACTGCAATTACAAAGGTGGCATTTTCAACCTTTGTCTTGCAAGAGACTCAAAGGAAAGCTGGAGGGAAAGCATTGGTCCAAGATATGTGAGTAACATAGCTGGCCTGGGGACATGGAGCACAGAGATTAGAACTAGGCACTAGAAACTGGGAGACAAATAAGACTTACCGAGTGATCCCAGAATGACAAGAATTGTTAAAATCCAGACAAGCACTCTTGAAATGTACCTGATTATAACCATCAAAATCATGGACAACACTGCAAAAGAAGGCAAATCAAATAAGTAAGCAATTATTTAAGGTAGAAATAGCCTTCCTAGTGCTCCCACTGCCCTAAAATAACTGCCTTCTAACAGAATTTTTAGACAGAGATTTATTTTCTGAGGCTTACAAACTCACTGCACAGATCGTTAAAGAAATTAGGCACTTCTACACCTTTTGCTTTGATATTGTTGATTAAAACAAGGACAGCACAGATACACTTACATGGTACATTAAATACAAAACATAATGTATACACGTACAGAGATGTATTTAGACAATGACAAAACAGACAGTAAGACATGACAGTACTCCAAGTCTGGTAAGATGAGCACACCTCCTGAGGACCAGAGCAGAATTTGCACTCAAATGCACTTTTCCAACAAGTGCAGATAATGTGACACCTTTGTACTCCAAAATGTCACACCAATAAAAAGTAAAAAAGTTACTACATTCAAAATGAGTTCTTTAACAAGCTTTGTTCACGTAGTTCCACTGCCATTCAGGAACTCCATGTTATAATATAATATCAGCCAGCTACGACTTGGTGAGTGGTGTATGTAAGTGCATGCACATATTTTTGCATATACTTATTTGTGTAGAACAGTTTCATGAAAAACATTGGAACCTGGCTTTCTGAATCACACAATCTTACTCATTGTTTAAAAATAAATAAATTGTGTCTAACTATGAAGGTATGAAGAATATTTTTTAAATTAACTGTACGTAAAACTCTGTACTAACTTCTGACTATAACCCAACAGTAGCACTGTTAATCAGCGCCTAGCTTTCAGATTCAGAACAGCCTTGCTACCATTATTATCGAATACTGCAGCTGTCAAGAGAAAAGAATAAACAACCTTCCAGTTATAGTTGAAAAGATACTCAATGGTCTTTCGTGGTTTGGGTTGTTTCGGGTTTTTTTAACGGTATCTAGCATCCTCCTATTTTTTATTTTTTTTTAAACTGCAAAGGGAGATTGAAAACAAAGGAATTATTTATCTGGTACAGCTTCATAGTGTTTCTTTCTAAAGCGCGCATTGCTCATATACATGGATAGTATCTGGAGTTTCACATTTTAGGATTTCAGATTTTATACTTGGTAGGAGTACAATAAACCCATTAGGAAAGAATTCATTAAAACGGCACTTCAGTCTAGCGTGATGTGTCACTCCACAGGCCAGAGGCATCTCAGAACTGTAGAGATGATTCAGCACCTCTATCCTGCTAGGAATTTCCAGCTCTTCAGACAAGGCTGAGATTTTTAAATGCCTGAAGTTTTAACTTTGGGGGAAGGGGAAGAAGGGGGTAACATACAATATAACAAACAGGCACCTAACACTTGTTTTCCCTCTGAAAGTTTGCATATCCCTGCAAAAGTATGTTAAATGAAACAAACTAAACCCCCTACATTTTAGAAGAGTGTGCTCTTGCGCACTTCTCATCTCGTCCTTTTTATTTGGCCAGGGTTTATTTGGACTTGGGTTAGCAGAAGATGAATACTAGAAAAGGGAAAGGTGAATATTGTAATAAAAATGAGGATAATGGGGATACTCTCTTAACTATACCAAAACAAATGTTGGCTCATCAACGGCCACACAGCCTCTTTATTGCATAATCAGTGAAAGAGGAGAAAAAATAGGAATGCATATGTATATTGCTTCAGAATAACTTAACCAGCTGTCAAATAACATTTAAAAGAAGCATTCTGAACCATTCTCTAAGGACTCACTGCTATCATACATTTTTTGCTCATATTGTGGTTAGAGGGTGTTAACAACCTCCTAATGCAGTACTAAGAAACAGCTAGTAATGAGAAAAACAATTACCTAGTGATAACAAGCAAAGTCCCATTATAATCTCTTTGCTGGTCATAACTCCACTAATCAGCCTGTGTAAGACACTACTGTCACTGACAAAGGTGATCAGGGCCTCTGCAAACTTGGCATAGCAGGAAATGTTCACAGGAGCACAGCGATGGAAGAATGGAATAGGTGCACTGGTGACACAAGAAAAAAAAATCAGAAAAAAAAATTACTCCTACTTAATATAAATGCCACATCAACACACAAATGAAAGGTGAATAGATGCAACCACTCCACCCTCATAACATCTTAACCAGAAATCATGTGTTGAATGCACAAGTGCTGCTGGAATGAGGATGACCATAATGGGAAGTGATGCAGTTCTTACAAGTAACCCTGTAAGGCTGAAGTGCACAATCCAATAGGAAATTATTACCCTCCCACCCTTAAAACGGCAAGGCTCAGAAAATACATGTTCCTGTTTCCATTTAAACGTCTCTCATTCAAGTGTCAGGTGGTGAACCAGCAGCTGAAACAATGCCTTTCACTTGTGTTAGAACGGAGTATTGGCCGTATTTGCAGCAAAAATCCCAGAATGACAATATTCTTCTTGCAAGCATACATGTTATGCTAAAAGACATCAGCACTTAAAACTGCTGCCGAGCAAAACCAATGTATTTATTCTTAGTCTTTCCCCATACTAAGCTTGCTCTTGTGTTGAAGATTACAATCACAGTATTTACATTCATTAACTTTGTTAAAATTATGCACAATATTCTCTGCAAAACATGCAAAGGTGCCTCTATTGTTTCATTATTCCTGAACTGTTTTGGAAGCATCCTCCCCCAAAATATTGGTGCTATGCATTAAATTTTGCAGAAGACTCGGCAGAACCTGTTACTAAGTCCATCAGAGGAAGATACAAGAGAGCAAAAACTTCACTTTAAAAGTGGGTAATTTTGTTTTCCAAGTGTTTCCCATTAAGTAGCTGCCTTTCTCGCTCACGTCTCAAAGTGGCTTATTATATATTTTGATCAATCTTCCCAATTACACCTCAAACACATGTTCCATGAATTACATGTTCCTTCCTGTAATTGTATCCAATGAAAAAAATGTCTTTCATATTAAGTCAGTCTTTTCTTCTAACCTCTAAATTTGTTTCACCCTCCCCCATCACCCTTACTTAAAAGATTTCTGTGGCAGCAATGTACACCATCTTTTGCAGTTTCACCATTTTAGCAATGACCTATAAATCAGCAATTTTCTGTACTCAATAATTATTTAAGCCCAAGCATTTCCAAAATTCTAACTGTCATTTTAAACACGTAGTGAGTAAACCAGCTGCCTTAGGCACATCCTTTCTAGCATTGTTTCTGGGGAAAAAAAAAAGATGAGGTGCTGAAAACTATTAGTGTGTAATTATGCTGTACAGAATTCAGGAGAAATTATGATCACCTGCCATACCTAGGTAAGTAACAGATCCTAGGTTTTTGTTTGAAGTGCCTGACAATTATAAATTACATGGTTTTAAACTTACTGTGCTGAGTAGGTAAATGCATTTGGAGATGCTCATATTGATGGTCTACTTTTAGGCAGTGATGAAGACAGCAGTTAAGTACAGCAAAGTAATTGTGAATTAGCCACAGTTGTTAAAAACCAAACTAAACCCATAATGATGGCTGCCCTGTTTAAAAGGCGGCCTGTGTATCCCTCTCAGCCTCTTACAACGTAGCCTATTTTGGCATATGCAGCGTATTGCCATTCCATATATGCAGCTATACTGGGAAATACTAAAATCTGAGAGGTTTATTTAATTGTTAACTGCTCCAACTTTCCCTGCCCAGGGCAGGGGGGTTGGAACTAGATGATCTTTGACGTCCCTTCCAACCCAAACCATTCTATGATTCTATGAAACCCTAGAGCGTTTAGAAGTTTTCAATATCAATAACGAAGCACAAGTTCTGAGCTGGGAGTAGGCAAAAGACTGTCATTCCTGCATCCACATATGAAAATACTCATTTTGAAAGAGGAAGCTAATGGCATTAAAATACCATTCCTAAATACATCCCAACAGAGGAAAAAATGCTTTTTGCGTATCAGAATTTGTATTATCCATCTAACATCCCTTAAGCTACAGCTATTTCACTAAATTTGAAGTTACCTATTTTCATGTGCAATGATTAATTTCTGATTTTGTTGTAATTAACAAAAAAAAAAAATTGAGGTTGGCGGTTCCTACAAGCTTTCTTGAGTAAAGAGGACTCCTGTGAACCCACCTTTTGAGATCTGCTGCTATTTCAGTGGTTCTGACTGAGTGGATGAGGTAAGATGTCCTATTTAACAAAAAATACAATAATAGATCTATTCTCAGTGACCTGTGCTATTTTATATGGCCTCTTGATTATAACTTGGTATATTACATACCAAAACGGAATTCTGCATTTTTGAGAACAACAACATGATAATCATGAACAAGGGCAAGTAAAGTTCAAGCCAGTAGATGATGATGCTAAAAACTGTATTTTTGAAGCAATGTTCAAATGAAGCTAAAGAGATCCATCTGATTGTTCAAGTACTAGATTTCAGAGGAGAGCTTTCTCACCTAACAACTACACCTGGGCATACATAACAACCTGTGTGGGGGAGCCTGGTTGGAGTGCCACTGCCACCTGCTCCTTGTAACCTCGACAGAAGCAGCGACTTGGCACAGCTTGGCGCAATTGTTTGATAAACACTGCAGGGAAAAGCTGGATAGGTTTTCCTCTAGGGTCCTCTATTTCAAAACTGAACATCAAAGTTATGCTCTACTGAGGCTGAGATATGGTAGGCATAATTTCTGGAAGACAGATGTATGGCTGGCTGAAGTGCTGTGTCAAAGGTGGACATAGTGCCTTGAAGCTGGAGGATCAGTGTCCATTGACAGGTGGAACCTCAAATGAAGGATGTGAAGAAGCCTGGTCATCAAAGAGAAAACATCAAGGGACAGTCCTCACAGCATACACTCTCTCCACCTCTTGGACCTAATGGGAGTCAGATGATGGCTCATGCCTCTGACAGATCAAATCTGAAAACAGGACTGTTAGGTAAGTTCTCCCTGAATGCCTCAACCTACAGGGTGCTGGGTTTTCATTTATTTGTCACCACAGGATTCCATTTGCCCTTCAAGTTACACTAATTTACTCAAACAATTCAACTATAAAAATCTGAAAACCGGAGTAGTTTACAGATACAATATTAGCCTTTTTTGCTTTAGGGCATTAAGTTCAGACTTTTCAATCTCAGAAAATATTCAAACGTATTGAACATTTTATTCATATCAAATAAAAAAGAGGAAATGCTCCAGCTACACAATAGCTTTCAAAAATAACTCTTGAGGTAGTTTTTGTGAGGAATTTACATAGTGTCATTAGAGCTCTGACACACTGTTCTATCCTCCTGTTTTCTTATTAAGCTATATTCATTCAGTCTGAATGACATGGGATCACACAGAGAGAAAAGTCAATATGATTTTGGCAAAAATTAAGACTGACAAGCCTCTTCAGTATGCAAGCTGGCACTGAAGCTTTAATTTGGTTTTGTATTACAGCTATAACAGCTGGTAAGCTGTATGGAATATTAATCTGCTGTGAGGAAAAGTAAAAAAAAAAGTTAATATTCCAGCTGCTACTTATTGTCACTACAACATAAAAACATTATTCACTGAAGAGGCTACTATGCAGAAAAGAGAGACTTAAAGTTTTTAGAACTGATACAATTACAACATTTAATAAAACTATAATAGAATACTATGCATAGGGCAAAACTGCAGTTACAGCCCACTACTGAACATGTTTGAGAAGCTAAACTTTGAGAAAACACAACATGATTCTTCTTGAGTGAGTAGAATTACTGACAGAAGGGTGTGCACAACAGCAAACGGATCGCTTGTTTTCTCAGCAATGCTTATGCCCACAGTTCCAGCAGCATAGCTAGCAGAGTTTCTGGAGCTACAAACTTCCCTCTCCTACTTCACAAAAAGCAGTCTAGTAAAATATTTTAAACTCAAATTGATCTGTTTATAAAATAGAACCCTCTTTTTGGTACTTGATTGTCCTCATATTGGTCATTTAGGGACTGAAAGAATAAAAAAAGGAGCAATTTGCGAAATCTGACTGGCTGAGGTAAGGTGTAAGAAGTGAACATTGCAGAGAGCTGTGTGTGAATATATCCTTTTTTTTTCCCCCAAAGATCCACAGTGCTCTATAATTGTCTCTGATCTGCATTGCTGACAGGCAGGTGGCCATAGAGTGAAAGGCAGTAAAACAGCTGATACTCAGCACAGTGTCAGTAACATGAGACAGAAGGGAACCTGAAGGTACCAGCTCAATACTCTCAGTAACACATGCATGGATAGTTTGGGTTTTCTTTAAGAGTTGCTTTCAAAATGCCTTTTAAAAACCCGTGGCAATAACACTCTACAACTGTACATCTGTAAGACAGAATAAATTTGGGCTACATATTTTCTAAAGAATTGTCATGCACAAAACATATCTCTGCTCCCTCCACCCTCAATGAGACAAGATGTTAATATTACCTCTCTGGAACAGGATATTTAGGACACAACTTGGCAGCCCTTGGGTCTGTAGTGTATTCTGATGGCTGTAGTTCATAGCTACACAGAGTGGATCCTGTTGAGAGGGGAAAAAAAAAGATTGATGAGGGAAAAAAAATAAAAATCAAATATTCCTATTCCTTGCAAATGACATTAAAACTGATTCAGGCCCTGATTCTGCAGCTCTTCATGTTATTACCACAAAGTTATGCTACAGCTCCTCCTGTAATGGAATGGTAAATCAAGCCCCACATAGGCTTCAGAGTAACAGAACAACACTCTTCATCTAGCTTTGCGTCTTCCAAAAATCTGTGTATTCAAGTCAAAAAGGCTTACTCACAACACAGTGTAAAAGAGAAGGACACAAAGCACTTTGAAGTCACCCTCCCCTGCTACTCTACCACACTTTTTCTTGATCATTTTTAGTGCATGAATATTGCATAAGACAACAGTCATTATAGCAAGAACACATTCAAGTGTGGTTTTTTGTTTTGGTTTGGTTTTTGGGGTTTGGGGTTTTTTTTTGTATTTTCAAAATACAACTGGTCTATAGAGTTCAGGGAGAGGAACAAAGGAACCAAACTGCTGAAGTTAGAAAGCTGGCTGAAAAATAACACAAGCTCTGGCTGCATTAGATGTCCAAAGCTTTTAACGAAGCTGAACTCTCTCTATAAACATATTGGTACCGCACAACAAAGATCAAGTTGCCTACAACCAAATTTAAACATAATTTAAGCTTTCTTTAGTATGTAACACTTGCCTAATGGCAGTACATTACCCAGACAGATCTCTTCCCATTTGTCTAGAAGACACTGAACACCTGAACCAATGCTTCCAGGAATATAGCAAATGCCAAATCAGATTGGAGCAGCGGTCTCTCAGAAACTGAAGGAAGAAGTAAGAAAGCCTCCAATGGTATAAGCTACCTATCCCAAGATGAGTTTCTTCCCAAGCCTGTTTGCTAACAGATTGCATACTCCCCAGTGCAAGGGCTCTGGATACATAGCCTTCAGTGTTCTTTTCTCCTACATAATAAACTAAGGACATCTTGATCATCCCTGTAAATATTCAATTCTTTCCATTAGGATAGCCTCCTCTCCAGAAATACTTCGTAGCAGAGAGTTCTACAAACTGGATCTGGATAATACATACACGCTTTTATTCAAATTAAAGCAAGACTTTTGACAAACAGCCGTATCTTGGCCTGAGTGACACCAAACAGAAGTATTATTTGAAGAAATCGTAGACTATTATTTGCAGAAATCTTGTTTACCATTGCCACATTGCTACCTCTATAAAGTGACATCTTCTATTTACAGACCAAAAGAGAAGACAGAGAGCAGCTGAGCAGGCTATCCCATGCAGTTTCTGGAACACTACTTAAATATTACTTATAAGAATTTTTTTAGGGAGGCAGGTCAAAAATACCAAACACACCATTGAATAAAGTCAGATTTCCTGCAAAGAGAAGGTATCAGGTAAAACATCTGAATTCCATTTTCAATTATACTGTTTATAGGAGTCCTTATGCCTCTACTTGCTTAGGTGGAAAACATGGCATCAGATAAACAGATATCAGACAAAACTATCTTTTGTACATCATAGTTGTAAACGTAATATCTAAAAGTAGTTATTATTCTTTCTTGCCAAAAGGCTCTATACTGCTGCAAAATTTTTTAATCTGTTCTTGTAGATATTAAAACTTCTCGCTCAAGTGTGGTTACGAACAACTCCAGAATTTGATGGAGGGGCAGCGGTAGAGAGAGTCACATGTTTATCTCAAAAACAGAAGGAAAAAGAAGATTGCAGATATTGACATGTGTTTCATTTTGCTTTGAATATAGGCCAAAAGCTAAGTTATAAAGATGACTAGAATAAGGATCCCTATAGGAAGAAGTGGGTTGGCTGTATATAGACAACTGTATACAGATTCCCTGCTCCTCTACTCTGCTCTCATGAGACCCCACCCCGAATACTGCATTCAGCTCTGGAGTCCCCAACACAAGAAGGACATGGAGCTGCTGGAGAGAGTCCAGAGGAGGGCCACGAAGATGATCCAAGGGTTGGATCTGCTATGAAGACAGGCTGAGAGAGTTGGGGCTATTCAGCCTGGAGAAGAAAAGGCTCCGGGGTGATCTTATAGCAGCCTTCCAGTACTTAAAGGGGGTCACAGGAAAGCTGGAGAGGGACTTTTTACAAGGGCGTGTAGTGATAGGACAAGGGACAATGGATTTAAATTGAAAGAGGGCAGATTTAGATTAGATACAAGGAAGAAGTTTTTCACTCAGAGGGTGGTGAGGCAGTGGAACAGGTTGCCCAGAGAAGTTGTAGATGTCCCATCCCTGGAAGTGTTCAAGGCCAGGTTGGATGAGGCTTTGAGCAACCTGGTGTAGTGGAGGGTGTCCCTGCCCATGGCACAGGGGTTGGAGCTAAATGATCTTCGAGGTCCCTTCCACCCGTAACCATTCTATGATTCTACTGAATGTTCAGTACCAGCTTTGTAATTTTGCCATACAACACTACTAGTGTTGAACTACAGTTTTAAGTATCTTACGCAGAGGCCTCCACACCTAAATAAGCCTAACGGACACTGCTGACCTGTGGATGTCCATGCTTCCTTGTGACTTCTAGCAGTTCAGGAAGAAAGGAAAAAGGGCAGGATGTGCTACAGCCAGGGAAGGAAGAAGGATCTAGGTTCTTTGCACAGACATAGAATCATAGAATCATAGAAT